ATATAAACTAGGAGTAATTATTCACTGTTCAAAAAGATCTGCCAAAGCATCTCTTTAAATCTTTCTTTTGCTTCATTCAGCTATAGCTTCTGTGATGAGCAGGCTAGCACAAAACCCAGGGCTCCAGGGAGCCTAGAACTGGGCTTGTGGGGAGTGACTCTAAATAAACATTTTTGTGTTGAATGAATGTACAGAAGAGCACCTCATGTATGGATGGACTGTGTTCCTGAAAACCACCTGTTAAATTCAGTTGTTTATAACTGAGAATGCATTTCTCTAAACAAACTCTGCTATAATTTAAGGTTAAACCCCAGGTTAATTCAATGGTTAATGAACTCATGAGCATACCTGGGTTTTACTAATTCAGTGATACCAGCTTAAATTCTGAAGTACACAAACGTACAGGAAGAGAGGGAAAAACGAACATCTCTTCTCTTTTCGGTCATCATTAGCCAAGAAAAACTGTTTGGAAATGGTATTTAGCCTTTGTCATCCTCCCAAATTTTGTTCTACTTCCTAGTTCCTCTTTACTCAGTCAGCAAAATGCCTCATTCTCTCACTTTGCTCCAGCTGTGGCAGGCCAGCCAAATGGACTCTACAACCAAAGTTTTTCATGTACCAAATAAATGACATTTTTTTTCTCTCAATCAAAATCTCTATTTCTTCGATATTCACTTCACATAGAGGGGAAGCTAATCTGATTAATTCGCACTAACAGAGAAAAGAGTCCCATCTGCCTATGTATTTCTGCAATACCAGACGTGTATTATTAAGAGGGATTTTAGACAGTTTAACAAGATGAAGTCTGCACATTCAGTCTTGTGGGAGCAGGTTACATTTTTGAATGATACGCCGGCAGAGCAGTGGGGCTCAGAAAGTCCTAGCCATTTAAAGGTTGATCATTTGTGAGCTGCAAAAAAAAGTACAAAATAAGGTCTTGTCCTCAAGCCAAGCAAAAGAAGAGGGGAAGTCACACATTTTATTTCAAGACTTCACTGATGTTCCCTATCAGTACACTTCTTAGAATTCTCTCCTCTTTCCTTCAGCAAGGAAGTACATTTAATAGGCTTGGTTTTGAGGGCAAATCAAGCCCTAATCCAAATTAAGAAAGGCTCCAGTGAGGACTTGATCTGTAAGGTGGCACAGAAGGCAGGTGGCTTCATGGATGGTCCAGCTGGAGACTATGGGCACTGACTGAACGGGAATGGAAGTGGATATGGTGGTGACAGCCCTTATTCTGATACTTAGAGCAAACCCATCTAGGGGCTAGAGGCCTGGAGGTCAGTTTGCAATGAGAATTCACTCATTACAAGGGTCATTGAACAACCAAAAAAAAAAAAAAAAACCTGAAAACGTCATCTGTTAACCTAACATGATGAAAATGGATTGTGATTTTAATTTAGATGATTTAATTCAATGGACAGCACTGTGACTAAATTTTCTTGAGTATTACTTAATTGTATTTATTTTTTTATTAAAAAGTTTTTTTTTCTTTATTGATCTTTAGAGAGAGAGAAAGGGAGAGGGAGAAAGAGCTAGAAATATCGATGAGAGAGAACATCGATTGGCCACCTCCTGCATGCCCCACACTGGGGATCAGGCCCACAACCTGGGCATGTGCTCTGACTGGGAATCCAACTGGCGACCTTTTTCTTGGTGCAGGGGTCGATGTTCAACCACTGAGCCACACTGGCCAGGCATTACTTAATTGTATTTAAAGGCAATGACTTTAATACTTCTGATTAATTCTAGTGTTATAATTGCTGCTGTCAGAAACATTTTAACCAATATTTATCAAGTTATATAAATAACCGATATTTACTACACCCCTCAAAAAAAGAACTTTTTTCTGCATGATGTGGGAGACTGTGGATTACACAGAAATATTTAATGCCTGCATAAAATCAATGAAACATGTTTGTATCTACTTTGATGGTATCTAGTAATATCTTCAGTTAGGATTACAACTGTATAGTCTTCCAGGCTAGAACTTAACAAGAACCAGTGACATGAAATTCAGTGATACATTATCCTACCAATTCCTTTAAAATGCATCATGAGATAGCAACTCTTCTACAAAAATGGATGACAAATAGATAAATTTCTTACTACATTGTATTTAAAGATGATTAATTGTCGTAAAAGAATTTAAAATTCAAAATATTTGTACTAGTACAGAACTGAGAAGGGGAGTGGTGTTAATAGCAGACCTAGAAGATTTCTATTTAGGTGAGGAAAAAAGATATAACCAGAAGGAATGGAAGGAATTCAGAGTAAGTCTGTATGCCAGAGAAAACCATCGCAGTTGCTCAGAAAGTGTTTATTGAAATCCCGTGTTCTGCTCCCCGTGCCCTGCTCCCCGTGCCGAGTGCTAACCCGACTACAGCTGCGCCCGCTGCCACTCTGTCCCCACAGAAAACAGCCATTTATTGTTTGGGTCAGAAATTTAGCAGATCAGTGTTACACCACCAGTCTTTCTTAATTCTCCATCCACAAAACCAAAAAAGTATTCTGTCTTTTTAAAGTTTATAAACATGTATGAAAAACCAGAAGTTTACATGTCTAGGCTGCTTTCTCATCATCTCTTGCGCAACTAAAAAATACGTTTTGATTTAAAACTAGAACTTGGCAAATGAATAGTCCATTGGAATGCTTTAATAGAAATAAATAGCCAAGATATTTAACTTTGAAAAGCATCAACTGAACAGGCATATATTCTTGCTTTGATATTTTATTTTGTTACCTCTGAAAAAAGCTTGCATTTTTCAGAAGACTCATACACTGGGTAAATTTCACAGACATATGACCTTGCTTTTACTGAGCAACAGAAACAAATTTATAAGAAAAAATTTTAAAATGGGAGACCTTCAATTACCTCATCAAAATTAATTTTCATTATTTCCAAAAATCTTTTTTTGTTTTTGTCTATACACATTTGTATTGTCATAATTGTATTCAGTGTTTCTTCAATTTTAAATTTTCACTTACCATCACATTATCAATATTTCCTATGTTGTTTCATAGTCAGTGTCAGTATGATAAATAAAAAAAATTGACTTTTATTCCATTTTAATGTAGTTTGAGATTTAGACAACATTCACATTTTTTAAAACTGAGATACTTCTTACATTTTTATATGTTTACATTTATAAAGCATGGGAATTATTTCTTCAGGGTTTAAAAGAAACCCAGTGAGTCTATCAAGACATGTGTTTTGGGAACTGGATTTACTAAAAACCTTAATTATTCCCTAATTAGTGGTGATTTAAAACTTTTCTCATTATAAGTTTATAATTTAATCTATGTAGATAATACCAATTCATTTTATCTATACATTCATATATAGTAACTTGTCAACAATTGTTCACAGTATTTCATCATAATTTTAATATTTTTTGTTTAATACCTATGTATTTATTGATTGCTATATCTCCTTTCTCATTTTCAACTTTAGTGTCAATTTTTGCTTATTTCTTTTACTATTGCTTTCAAAGTGTTACCTCTTGATTCATTTATCTATTTTTCAGCTTTCCATTTTACCTTTTTTAAAAAAAAGAAAATTCTCAGTTATCTGTACTTGAATGACTTAATTATTTTCCTTTCTCTGTAAATTAACATTGATAAAGCTCTAAATTACCTCCAAGTTCTTCTCTAGTCATATAGTTAAATGTTAGTATGTAGTTTAAATTTTTTGTTATTAGTTAAATAGTCTTCTATTGCTTTTTTTTTTTTTTTTTTTTACTTCTTCCTAGACCCAATCATTATTTACAAGACTATTTTTGTATTTCAAACTATTTGGAGTTGTTTTTATTGTTGGAATTGGAGATGCAAACAAAAATGAGATTAAGTCTTTGTAAATATATTCAAATTTTTCTTTGAATACTCAGAGATAACATATCTTGTACACATTTGTAGACACGTGAAAATCAGATTTCTGGCTAGATATCTGAAGGATATGTTAAACAAGCCAAATTTAAATTCTTGTATAAAGTTCTATAGGTCACATATATTAGGCTCCTTGATATGCTAAGAACTAAATGTAGTAACATTTATGTAGCATTTAGCATAGAGCCTAGCATATTATAACTACCCAATAAGTGATGGTGGCAGTAAGTGTAATCATAACAGTGAAGTTTTCACTGTGAGTGGCAGTTTTCATAGTATGTGTTACAATAACAGTAATAGCCTAGTAGTAGCTACATCCCTCCTTCCTGTTGTGCCAGCTTCGCTGCACTATTGATCTGGACAAGAATAAACTAGCTCTGTGTTCTTGGTCTGGGTCTTCTTATTTATGACATCATGTGGCTGGACTAGATGCTTTCAGAAGTTATCTTCAGGACACAAACTCTATTACCAACAGGTATAGGTTACACATATCCTTTGTTCTAAAGCTACTTCCTCAAACACTCTTTATGATCAAAGCTCTCTGGGAATTGAAGTCAAGATAGAAAATATTACCAAAGACACTATTCCATTTGAATGTTCTGAACAGCTAGGTATTGGTTCATTATTTTTGAAATAAAAATAAAATTTCCAAAGCAATTTAAGCCAGACCTATACTGTTTCATCACAAAAGTCTTGGCACCCATGCTAATTTGTGTTGATTTTCCACCATTATTAGCAAACAAAGAAGTTAAGAGAAAACTTGGAATACGAAGTATTAGCATGTCTGATTATGGAATCCAGGACAGTCTCCCACTAAAATGTATTCAGAGACCAATATATATATTTCATCTAAGAATGTTCATCATTAAGATTAAAAATTATTATTAAGAATAAAAATTATTATCATTGTTATTAAGAATGAAAATTTCCCATACTCTACTATGAGCATCTCAGGTAATTAAAAATAAAACGAAAGCTTTAAAACCTAATTATGGGCAAAATGTGAATAATCTGAAGCAAAAGTAGTAAAAAGTATGCCTTTATACCTGTTTAAACAAATGCCTCTGCTGCAGTTTTAATGGTCTAAACAAGGATCACAAAAAGGACAGACTTACCTGTGCGATAGACAAAGTTGCCTTCAGTTTCTGATGATGAAGGAGACACTAATTCTTCCTCAAATTCATTGGAACTAAAAGATCCTGAATGGTTTCTTTGCCTTGTCTTTCCCATCATTGCAGCATTTGTGGCCATGACATGTCTCAAAGAGTCGTTAAGGTAACGGTTCAATAAGCTGCTCTTGTATTTTGGGGGTGACACGTAGTCCTCATTGGCCCGTGACTCTGGCCTCACTCCAGCCTTTATTACCGAGCTCTCGCTTTTAATCACCGGATGGTGAACGGGATTTTTATAGCCCGCTTCGTTCATGTGGCTTCTTGGAGGGTTTTCTCCATCTAAAAGGGAAAAATATCACTAGGTAGGACTTGCACATACTTTTCCCCAGCCACCCAACTGCTATGTTTAGTCATTAAAGATATATGGAAAGAAAGAATATTTAAAGTATAAAATTATTTTTGATATTCAAGATTAATTTTTAGGCAAAGAAAAGGAGGAATCTATATGATCTCTCCATATGGTATTTTAATTTAAATAAATGTTACAGAAAATGTTATTCTGACACACAATAAATTATAAACAACAGGAAATAGCCACTGTTATTTATAGTATTGCTAAACTGAAAAAGGAACCACTATGGCACCATCATATTTTCTGGGATTGATCTTAAAAATAGCAACTGAGGCAAACTTATTACAGAGGCAAAGCCAAGAAAGCAAAATAAAAATATGAACATACCTTCGGAACACGAATCATCACTGCTTACACTGAGCCGCTCAGCATTTCCTTGAACATACTTGTTGTATAACTTTATTCTTAAAGCCCAGCTTAAATCTGGCTGTCGAACAGTATTCTTAAGTCGACGTCTTGCATTAGCAAACCAATTTGACACCTAAGAAAGTATTATTTCTCAATTAACAAAACGTAAAAAATTACCCATCATACAATTACTTTTCCATAAAGGACTTAAGCCTCTCTCAGTATCTCTGATCACTAAATATTCTCAGAGTGTAACAGTACTGAACACTCATTCCAATCGTTCATTCATTCATTCATTCAACAAATATGCTGAGTGCTAACTACAGAGACTGAACACTTATTGTATTCTGGGAATTTAAGGCCTGCTGGTGTGGCTCAGTGGTTGAACGTCGACCCATGCACCGAGAGGTCACTGGTTCGATTCCTGGTCAGCGCACATGCCCAGGTTGTGGGCCAAATCCCCAGTGGGGGGCATGCAGGAGCCAGCCAATCCATGTTCTCTCTCATCGATGTTTCTATCTCTCTCTCCCTCTCCCTTCCTCTCTCTCTCTAAAATCACTAAAGAAAAAAAAAATTTAATGAAGATGCTTACTATCAAATTTTTAGTCTAGTAAGAGAGGTAGGAGAGTATGCCAACAAGTCTAATACAGGAAAGAACGACTTAAGATGCATGAAAATAAAAGATAGAGGATTCCAAAGGAAAGAAGGGATACTTTTACATGTGACTCAGGACTTCATGAGAAATTTAAGGTAGGCTTTGAAGGAAAATGTCAGGTATAACGGGTAGGGAAGTGTATTCCCAATAAGGAGGACACTGGAACAAAAATAAATCAAATTCCAGAGATACTGTTGGGTAAGTAAGAGGAGTGAGTTAAAGATGGCCTTGAATCACCAAATCTGTGGAACCAAGAGAGGGATAGTGCCATTTTGAGAAAGAAAGTAGAACTGTTTAAAGATGAAATGATGTATTTGTTTTGGGGCATGTTTAGTTGAAGGCACTAGAAAAGCATACAGGTGAGATGTGCAGCAAGAGAAGAAAAATGGTACCTGACACTTAAAGGAGAGGAAGAGCAGATCTGGTCAAGTGCACAGGCAGAGGTGAGAGCTGAAACGGTGAGAGTAGGCAGGATGAAAAGATGGTCAGAGACCAGTGGAAACCTCCAGTGATTAAGGACATAGGACTATAAAAGAGGAGCTGACAAAACTACCAGAGACAGAATAATCAGACAAGTAGAGGAAGAAAAGGCCAAATAACACCTAGCTTTAAGCTAAGTCAAGTGCTTCCAAAGAAAGAACACTGCAAAACAAAGGATAACTCCCATTCCTTTTGTTTGTTTGTTTGTTTTTTGTAAGATGCTACTGAATTTCTAGAGGCTAAAATGGTACCTAAAATTTCTTTGAAAATATCAGGCTGTCAGTAGAATACATATACAAAAAACCTGAGGGGCTGATACTTCCTTTTAAAAGAATGAAATGTGGACAGAGAATTATACCTTTCTGCCGGTTTGTTCCAGAACACGACCCTACATTACCATAGTGGTTTGTGTGGCAAAGACTGAACCAGAAGTTCCTTTTTTCCCTTTTTTTAGATTTATAATATAAACACACAGTTTTTGCATATTGCTCAAGCCCTAATTGGTGAATGGACCTGTGGTGATCCCTACTTTTTTAAAAAAACAAGATTATAATTTTTTTTCCTTTGTCCCCCATGGGTAAAAACATGGCCATTTTTCCCAGTTTATTTTTATATATGCACAAACTATATTACCTGTTTTATGTATATTCAATATTACTGCCTTTGTGTCTTAAGCAAAGATAATTGTTCACTTAAATTTACGAGCAATGAGGTAACATCTCACCATGGCATTTCAGAAGTCTTAGTCTTCATCAATCCTTCTTCCTCTCAAGCTATGCTATTATTACTACGATTAAGTCTGACTTCAAATTCTCAGTCTTTTTCAACCTCTTATAGACAGACAACTTCTGGGACTACTCATTCAACAAACATAGCAAGATGTTCCTGTGGTTTAGCCATGGTGTTAAGTGCTAGGGGTGGATACAGTGTGTCCCATGCACACACGGAGGGACTAGCAGTGAAAAACTATACATGATTAACTGTGGTACGCAGGTTATTGCGACGAAATCACAAAATGTCTGGTCCGTTTCTTAACTACATTTCTCAAACTTCTTTCTATTGTTCAAGTCATGGCCAAAGTGTTTGTCCAAGTCCTCCTTACCACTGACTAAGAATTTTAGAACGTTCTTTTCCTGAACTTCCATTCTGAATGGATCCAATTGAAAGAATCTTAACAACCACCTTCAAATTCAAGTGTTGATGCATTATTATTATTAAATTACTTAATTTCTTCAAATGCTCATGAATGTCCCATTATCCTGTTACTATAGTATAAGAGAAAGAGACCTGGTATCTTGTCCTGAATTTGCCAAAAACATGCAGTGTGTATTGCGATAAGTCACTCACTTTTCTAAACTTCAAACCCTTCATCTATAAAATGCATTAGATGATTCCTAACATCTTCGTCTACTCTCAGAACTAAGATCTGTGAATACAGCTCATGCTGCCCTACAACTGTGCTAATTCCCTTCATAGTTGGTACTAATCTTCCTCTGCTCTCAAGCACTACTCTCTCTAGCAATCAGATATGTGTGTCTATGTCCTTCTCTGCCCCTCACACACAGAGGACACACTGCAACTTCCCCTAGGCCTAAGTCACATATTTTTAAAATCCAAGTTCAAAACTTTGTGGTACTTTCTTTTCTTTTTCTTATCCTCACCTGAGGACATTTTTTTGATATTTTTTTCAGATAGAGTGGGAGAGAGGGAAAGAGAGAAAAACATCGATGTGACAGGGACACATCGAGTGGTTGCCACCCACACGACCCAACCAGGGCCGGGGACAAACTGCAACCGAGGTACGTACCCTTAGCGGGAACCGAACCCGGGTCTCTCCCGACCACAGGCCGATGCTCTAACCGCTGAGCCAAACTGGCCAGGGCTGTGTTACTTTCTTTACTAAACATCATATAATTCAGACAAATCTTAAATCTTAATCAACCTCAATTCTTAATTAACCTTAAATCATAACACAACCACCACAGAGTACATTGTAAAATCCAGTTCTTGTATAACTTTTGATATTTTTATTAAAATGCAATGGCCTTCTAATTTCAAAAAATTAATATACCATAATTTCAAAATAGAAAACGGGGACTTTTTGATGCCATGGTGGAACTAACTAGCTTTTCACATATAGGGGTCATATCCTTTTTATGTTTTATATACCCATAGTATATTAATTATATATTAGGAGATTTTCCAGAAAGATTTACTGGTATCTAATATAGACTGTTTCTAAATCGATTTTACAAGTTTGATGAGCACCTAGTCTGCTAATATATTTACTTTGTCAGTATTTTATTACCAGAAATTCACAGTACAGCCAAAGGGCTGCATACAGTCTGAGGCTTTAATATCTACTTGCATTAAGTTGTGCAAATAGCAGACAAAGAGATGGTTAACATATCTGCATAAATATTATTTTGCAATTTTTTTCTGATGAATTAATGCAAACTCCAACTGTTTCACTGAAGGTAAAAAAATAATCAGTTCAAGTTTTCTACTTTTCACTTACTATGGATTCATTCAGGTTATTATTCAAAGTCTCCTTAAATTCTCTTTTACATGAAACAGGCCTCCTTACCCAGGGTAGGTTTTGAAGGAACAGTATTTTAATGTCAAATTCAAAGCTTTAAAAACACTATTTTACAGTGAATGCTTGGAGGACCAAACCTCTAGATGCTGGAAGAGAAAATGAAGTTATTTTCATCCTTCTCTAACCGAAGTGTTTACATTCATCATATTGACTGAGCAATCATTACAGTCAACTCAAAGGGCTATGCTGGCATCTGTCCACCTGTGGACATACAGAATTAACAAACTTATTCTGGGTTACTCAGCTGAAATATTGAGCACCTCATTTCCACACCATGTCATATAACACTTGGAATGATGTAGAGGAACCTTTCTGAGACTTTGTTGAATATTTAACAGTTGCTATAATCCTTGCAGTTAATAACTGCATACATCTCAGCAGAAGCACTCAATACCAAGCAAAAATAGAGCTATGTCAATGTAGGAGGCAACATCTTGCAACACAGCAGTTTTCACCTCATGGTGCATGGACATATCCTCGAAATTTGAAAGTTCTATAAGAGGAGGAAGCATTAACATCCAATTGTTAAACTGTAATCTCAAACTCCCCTTGCACTGCACTCTGTATTGTGATCATGAAAGAAATAATCTCACGGAGACATTTCACTCTTATAATCCAGAAAAAAAAATATTTTTAAAACATACACACAATCAGTGGAAAATATTAAAACCAAAAATAGCCTCCATCTGCCCTTTTTAAAACTCTCTAAAAGCAGTTATTCTTTGGTAAGATCCATTTCTTACAATAATAAAAAACCTGAATTGTATAACAGTTTATATTATTCCACAATTAAGCTGCTTATATTTTGAGAGTACAAAGTGTATTTTTATAATGTTTCAACAATGGTCAGCCATAGGAACAAAGCACAATGGAAAATTTTATTTGATTTTAGTCAAAACGCACACACACACACACACACACACACACACACACAAATGATCTCCTTGTTAATTTTATTAAAATGATTGTATCTCATTAGGAAGTAAGATGCTAGATTAATAATGCAAATGAGAGTCAAACATCGTTAGAGCACATTAAGACAAGTTGCCAAGTCTAGTAGTGCAAGTTTCATAAATAATTCGTGCTTCATTTTTCAGGAGTAAGTAAAAGAGGTGCCTATTAATGTCCTTAGAGATTCTACTTATCAGAAAAAGTACCTCTTGTGGTCCTAAAGATATTCTCTTCACTCAAGTTTCAGCTTTCTGTTTCTGGGCTTTAATGGAGATTGCTGACAGGTTTTATGCCTCTCTTCATTAATTAAAGAGTAACAAAACAAGTCAAAACTATTTCTTATGAGAAGTTTGACACACAACCAAAAGGAAAGTGTTAAATGTGATAAAAATGATCAAAATATAAGGTAGTCTTGTAGTTAAGGAATAAAAGTCATGCCAACACTTTATTAATATGATCATGAGAAACAGAGAGAGGTGGTGCAATACACAAGAAATAAGAGTTTGAAACCAGAAATAAGGGGAATATTTATATCTATAAACATAGAAACAGGACATATTTCCAGATATATTGAAAATAACAAAATTGGTTATACTCTTACTTGTTCTGTAGAACTATCATATAACATTAAAGATAGCTGCCCTACAATTGGATGGATTTTAAAACTATCTTAGTCAGATTTCAAGATATCCTTTAGCTTTCAAAAAGATGTTTTGGAAATCTACATGGTGATTATAGTGGTATTGCCTCATTAGAATCTATTCCCTCTATAAAAATGTAGGCCTCGTTTACTATATGGGAAGTACTGTGCTGAGGTGGTACCAGGCTATGAAAATGAATAAGACATGATCACTCTTCTCAAGAAGGTTGACTCCACAGGACAAATTTATTCAGTGGGAGAACCTGACTCATTAAATAGGGGTCTAATTTGCCGGGATCAAAAGCTTTATTCAGATCACAGCTTTGTATTTTTTCACCCAGAAGTGTAAAGTATACATAGAATTAGAATTTTGTTTGGCTGTTAACGTATGTCTGACTATTACAAACCCCTCATATATATATATATATATATATAAACATATAGGTAGGTAGTAGATGTGTGTGTGTATTCATATATTTTTTTCTTACATAGATATCTCTTATGCCTAATTGAAAATAAATGAACCCAAATTGTATTATATATAAGGTCCTTTTATTGTAGTATACATTTTGATAGTTTTCATTTATTTTAAAGTTCCCCCCAGAAACCAACTTCATATACTATAAAATTTAAAAATTGTTCAGCATGCCCTGGCTGGTCTGGCTCAGCGGTTAGAGCGAGCGTCGGCCTGAGGACCAAAGAGTTGATGGTTCGATTCTGGTCAAGGACATATACCTGGGTTGTGGTTCCTCTCCCGCCCTGGTTGGGGTCATGTGGGAGGCAACTAGACACAGCGATTTTTCTGTCTGTCTCTCTCTCTCTCTCTCTCTCTCTCTCTCTCTCTCCCCACCTCCTCCCTCCTACTCTATCTGAAGATAAATAGAAAAATATCCTCAGGTAAAGATGAAAATAAATACAAAAATAAATAAAAGTTGTTCAACAAATATCCTTATTATAAATAATTATATTTGCTCTATTTAAAATTACATAATTTTGTGCATTTTTACTTTCTGAGGACTAGTGTAAGAGGAAGAATCTGCAGTGAGAAAAGTTTTCATTACATGAATGAAAACTTTATGTAAATTAGAAAATGCAATAGGCTTACCAAGATCTCACAGCAAAAATAATTATTATTTGTATTTGCACTGTCATTACAGGTAGAAAATTGATTAATAGTAAATTGAAAGCCACTGGTATTGCATCTTACAAAACTATTGTACATAAAATTTTAAATGTCTTGGCTAATGACAAATGTTACTTTTTTAAATTAAAAATGTTCTAAATGTCATAAGTGTTTTTTGCTCTTATATAAAAGAATGGGAAGCATTAAATATGGAACTATATAATCAATCAAAAATAATATAATATTTTATTGCTAATATCATTGTGAAATATTCAAATAGCTCTATAAATTAGAGTATTTTCAAAATAAAATCACACCTGTTTTTAAACCTGAAGTTTGAACATATGCATTTATTTTCAAAAGTCAAGTTTTTCTGAATGGGATAAGAAACTACTTCTGTAAATCACTGAAAGTTACATAGTTTTATGTTAAACAGATATTAAACCAAGAACACCAAATTAATTTTCCACTCCAGTACTGCAGCAAATCACTATTACTACTATTGCTTGTCAATATGAAGCAAAACAGATGTTTTTCTTTACAATTGTATTCTGAAAATAACGAGACAAATGCATATTATAGTTTTAATACACCTGAATACAAGTCAACTTTTGCTTTGTCTAACTTTCCAGTAATTACTAAATGACAGTCTTAATTACTCTGAAAAGCAATTTTTATTTTCTAACAGTTAAATGTTGTTTGTTTGTTTGTTTGTTTGTTTGTTTTTTATTTGGGGGTTCTCCCTTACCATGTAGTTAATTAGTTGACCACAATTTCACCACAGTGATGTAGTGTTACTACAATGTATGAAAATTCTCAGCTCATTTAGCACCTCCTCCTCATTTGAACACATGTGTTCTGTTTGCATTTATAAAAGTTCCTATCACCATATTTATTAAAGAAAAGTGTGGTGTGATGGAAAGAGCATTTGATCTGGAATTACATTATTTCCAGGCCTACCTCTATCCTTACTAATACATAACCTCCATATGCCTTGGTTATGCCACCTATAAAATGTTGACAATAACTTCCATACCTTACCACGTTTTTGTGAATATCAAATAAGATTTGTAGGAAAATAAGCAAGTCAAATGTAGTGTTGTTCACTAGAGAGGAACCAAACTTGCACCATTTCTACACTTGACAAGTAACCCAGCTATAAAATCTGCCTCTTCTTAACCCCAGTAGAAAGATACCATCAGGGAAATTTGTGGATTCTAGCTAATGTCCAAGATGCTTCTACTTAAAAAAAAAATCCAAATTCACTTCTTGCCCTTCCAACCCACCTCCTAGATCTATAAGTAATGCTAATTTTGAAAGCTACCCTTTACTTGGTTCTTAAAGTGTGGCCCGGGGCCAGCACCTTTAGAGTCACCTCAAGAACTTGTTAGAAATGTATATCATGGGCCCTACACCAGACCTACTACTGAATCAGAAACTCTGGTTTGTGTTTTCACAAGTCCTCCAGGCGGCTCTGATGCACACTCTAGTCTGAAACTCACTGTGAATAGTCCCCATCTGTATCCATCTACAAAAGGTCCATGAGTCCACATTCCCTAACACCCTCTCATAACTCTGCAGTTAACTTTTCACTGCCCTCCCTAAAAGAACACCATGCTTTCCATCCTGGAAGGAGCATTAGCACTGAACTGATAGATAGGATTGAGAGGAGACCCAGAAACTCTTCCCAGAACACAACTCTGCCCATGTGCCAACCAGGTGGAGACCCGCACAAACACTAAGCTACCGGCTCCTCGCTCGTTGCCAAGAGAAGGATCAGGGACTTGGTGGATCCGGGTTACCTGCACTAGCGTCATCTGCGAGCCGAGCGCCAAGAGTATCTTCTCGGTCTTGGTGGGGTACGGATTGTCACGGTGCTTGTACAGCCACTGTTTGAGGGGGCGTGCCATGTCTTGCAGGGCCTGTCGCTTGTGCCTCACCTTTCCGCCGTTCTGCCGGGCCCTGGGACACGGGGAGAGGAGAAGGCCCTAGTGAGTGGAGCAGTCTGGGTGCTGCCCGCCGGGATCCCTCACTCGGGGAAGCATTTCAGCTGTCGCTGAGCCCCCGCAGCGCACGCCGGGGGGAGGGGGGGCACCGGGCAGCCGCTTGCACCCGCCCACACCCGCCCCACGAGTCCCGAGGTTGAGGCGAGGGAGCTACACAATTTCTGGGCGCGAATATCCTTTCCTCCGCATCTCTGTTTGAAATGGCCTGGTTGTTGCACATGGGGACACATGGTAGTGAAGGACCCTAGGTTTATCTTGAAAGTGGGGCTATCTTGAAGCCAGTAACCCCAGGTTAGAGGTTTAGGTGAGGATGGTTAAGAGATTTAAAGAAAGATGTTATTCAAGCTACGGATTTGTGCAGCAGGGCTGTCACCCTTCCCTCGCCCGCCTGCACTGTGCCCTCCTCTTGTGGCTCTGGCCTGGCTGGCTGTGCAGAGAGTGCTGCAGGCTCTTGAACGTTCTTTCAAAGAACTCGGGCCTGCCGCTCAAGGCTTCCCGTTGCCTGTGGGCAAAGGAAAGATCGCCCACTGGACTTCGGGAATAAAGCAAGGGATGGCCGCCGCCCTGCTGCCCTGGTTCTCTTCGAGCTCTCTCCAGTTTCCTTTGATCCTCTGGGGAAAAGGAGAAACTTTCCAAAGGAAGGGTACGAGGGAAAATACTGTAGGGGTCTTTTCCCGATATAAGGAGAGTTAAAAAGTTTGGAAAGCTCTGTTTCATGAAGAAAAAAAAAAATGGACCTCTTGAAAAGCATATTCCTAGGAGGAACTGATAAGCAGTTTGGAGCCAGCCTTGGGCGTTGCGTTCCCAAGAGGCTCCGGGAGGTGTCGCCGCGCCGACGCCCGCGCGCGGGGTGACTCCGCGAGACTCGCGCGCCTGTGCCTCAGCCTCTGGGGCTTTTGCCTCTTTAAACACTTTGAAATGCAATTCCACCCGAAAGGCTGGTAGTAACGTTTTGACGAAACCTAATCTCTACTTAACTAACCAGCAGCGCCGCAGAACAAGCACTGATGCAATATTCCAGGTGGAGAAGGCCTGGACGGCCTACCCCCCGCCCCAACCCCTAGCTCCGGTAGCCTCCCGGAGGTGGCGGGGCCAGCCATGGCCATCCACACATCTGCTGCCAGAGCAACTGGGGCCACCCCCTCACCCTGCTAAACCGAAACCCGGCACAGCAAGCTCGCAGCCTTCCCTTCCCGGTTGGCAGCGGGCCCCGCCCAGCCGCGTGCGATTAGGGCGCCCAGGGCAAAACCGACCTTCCCATCACCCTGGCCAAGGCAAGGCGAGCCGCGAGGCGGTGGCGAAGCCTTGTGGTGACAGAAGAGGGGAAGCCCACCAGGCTGGCCAGACCTGGGAAGCCCCAAGTATTTGGCCGTGCCCTATTCCTATGCTTCCTGCTCAGTCCTTTATATTTGGCTCTCAGTCGCGCGTCTGCAGCCGCGGTCCGGAGAGGGATAGGTAATCCACGATCATGAGGTCCAAGTATGGGAGGATTGCGGGGACAGTTCCACGTGTCCTCAGTTTCCAACATGCCTCTTTTGAATTGTCCTGACGAATCGATCCCCCCATATTTTGAGAAACTATACCTTAAAACGTGAATGCGCAAAACCGGGAGCCGGAGACCTGCCCTCCAGGGAAACTCCGCGCAGCTAACCCTTGATCGCCGGGTTTGCTACCTGCACGCCCGCGCCGCTCACTGCCCCCACCCCTCTGGGCTGCGGGTGGGCCGGGGCTCAGGGAGGATGCGCATACCCGGTCCTCCGGTGTCTCAGGCCGAGGTTGTCTTTGAGGGGCGGGCCGTCCGGAATGCCCACCTCCGGGCGGGCGTGGGGACTGTCCAGAACTCCGCTGTAGGGCCGGCCGCCCCGCTCCCGCTCCGAAGCGCTGTGGTCCTCAAAAAGCACGGCGCCGTTGAGCTTGTCGAAGACGATGGTGTTCATGGTGCGGGTTGGCAGGGGCGCCCGGCGCGGCCACAGTGCCTCGGAGCCGGGCCACCGGGAGCTCCGCAGGGCTCGGGTTCTAGGAGATGAAGGTGCATCGGGTTACTAGCTGAGAGTGCTCACACCCTGAGCGATCCGAGCCCCAACCATAACCAAGACGAGGGGCTGCGGAGTTCCGGGCAGGAGCGGCACCGCGGAACCTGAACCAGGGAACCCGCGCCACTCTGTATCCGGCTAACGCATTCACCTCGCCCTCGCACACTCTGTGACAGGTCCCTGCCCTAACCCTTGTCGGGGTGATTGAGCCGCTAACGCACTTCAACCGGGAATAGTGTACCCCGGCGGCAAAGTAAAGTTAATTCCTAAACGAGACTTTCTGCCTCGGTTTTAATCCGGAAGAAGCACACTCCAGATAGCGGAGCGGGATCTGGGCCGGGCCTCGCATGGTCTTCAGTCACAACGGAAGACTAAAGCGTTTCGGAGGTTCCACTCAGGTCGTAAAGCGCAGTTGGAAGAAAGGGAAATTGGGGGTAACATGAAAGGCTGCAAGCGCAAGCCCCAGTTAATGAGTCCCGGGCTGTACTGGGATTTCGGGGATTTTCAGGTTCCCTAGATCTTGGATCGTTTGGCTGAACCTCCGCGTCCGTCCCAGGGGTGGGGGTTAGGGCTGGGAAAGTTAGCAGACTCCAGAGCTAGAAAGTTAAGTAGCGTCAGGGACAAATGCACCACACACTACTTCTCCCCCAAAATCTTTCTACCATCCCAGTCCACTCCGGTATGCGTAGGGTCGGTGCAGTTCAAAGGCGTGGGAGTCCTGGGCGACAGAGGGGCCCGCTGTCATTGTGGTCCTCTTACGCAGTGCGGATGAGAGCCTGGAGCTCAGAAACCTTTCACACCCGCCCCTTTCTGGGGTTTCGAGGAACTATTTCAGAGGCTGCAAAGGTGTTAAGAGAAGAAGGAGGAATCGCGGACCGTGCACCGCCAGGCCTGCGGCTTCCACAGTCAGAGGAAACCTGCAGTTCACCTCCCGCGTCCCGGTTACCGGGAGCGTCTGCCTGTCGCGCGCGGGCGTCAGGGGCAAGTCCGCGCTGCGGCGGGTCAGCCGAGTGACCGCCCTGAGGCGCTTGGCCGCCCCAGCCCGCCCCATCTCCCCGCCTCGCACCACCGAACAGCTCTCCTTCCTTTCGCCGCCAGCGCCCCTCACCCCGCCCCGCCGCGGCCTGGGCTACCACTCCCCACCCACCCATTTACAGATCCTCTGCCTCTAGGAGCGCCCACACTCGCCAACGCCCCTCGCCCCGCCCTCCGGCCACCACAGCAGCCGCCACGGGTGACACGTAGGGCCGTGACCACGGCAATTAAATGACGGTTCCCGTCAGTATTCGTGGGGAGGTGAGGTCAGACCTCTGCTGGCAGCCCGCGTCCCATAAGACTGAGTCCTCCAGCGCAGACAGGTACGTGTCTGACGTTTGGACACAAGGCAATAAGTGTGAAAGCAAATGTTGGTGCTCACAGCCCCAGTTCTAAGGTCAGGACTCCGTTTTTTATGTTTAAATCCGTGCGCTTAGTGCTTTGCATTCACGCTGCTCCGTTTGCAAAATACACCCTTTCCCAGCCCTCGGTCTTCCCCCACCCCAGCTCGGTCATCCTATATGTAGGCGTGTTTTCCCCAGCGCATCCGCCCGAGTTTTGGCAGAGCGGGCCCTTCTCCGGCTGTCCCCAGCCCGCGCAGGGTGGCAGCCACAGACCCCCGGCGCGGTCTGGGTCCACGGGCAGCAGGCGTGGTGGAAGCGGGCGGGAGAAGTCCGAGAGCTGGGTGCTGACGTAAAGGGTCCCAAGGGCGTGGGAACCACGGCTTCTCATCCTCCCGGGGAGCCCACGCGCGGTCCCCCACGCCTCCTCTCGGTTCCCGTGCTCTCCACTTACTCTGATTCACCCAAAATTGTCACTTGTGGAACTCCCTCCCTGAGGAACTGCCCCGCCCAACGCCCGCGAACAATTTTAAAGCAAAGAAGAAGCGGCCAGGTGGGTTCCCAGGCTCCTAGCAGAACCTCCGGCCAGCCTTAGCGGCCACCCGGGCACGTTTCTTATGGACCTAGGAGAGAGGTAGGGGAAGGGCGGGGAGCGCCGAGACATCCGGGACCAGAGCGAGCTTCCCATCCCGAGGCCTCGGGCGGGGACTCGGGGACCCGAGGGCTATACCTGGGACGGTGGGGCCGGCGGCCGGCGGCAGGGCTGCTGGCTCTCCCGCGTCGAGGCTAGGCGCACTCCCATCCCCGCCGCATGTTTTCCGCGCGGGCTCCAACGCGCTCACCGCCGCCACCGCCGTCGTCTCGGCTTTATTTACCCAGACAGGCGCGCGCGGCCCGGGAACAGGAATACCGAGGCCTTCTCATGTTTCCTGACTGTCTGGCCCAGTCGGCGAACATCCTGCGGGCGCGGTATCCACGTTCCCGGGCAGGCGAGAGAAAGCCTCCGCGCCCGCCCGGCTGTGGGGATGGCAGTTAACCCTCGCAGAGGAGATGCCACTGCAGGCGCCACCGGTAGCCGCCAGCCCGCGGAGTCCTCCGCAACCAGGCCGGCCTCGCAGGCGCGGAGCATAAGGGGCTTCCTTTGCACTTAAGGGAGAAATTCTCCAAGAGGCCGCAAGTAGCGCCCAGCTGCGGCTCTGGAAGCTGAGAGACTGCGGTGCAAATCCCGTGTCTTAGCTGGCTCGATTATCGGAAATTTCTCTACAAGTGTCTGGGCGGGAGAGATCACTACAGCGCTCTCTTTATTTTCCTCGCGATCAGCTGAAGTTAGAAGAGTTTGCGCCTATAACGCGTGAGCGTATTTCAGGAGGCGCTTGGACCCCGGGAGCCTCTTTTCTGACTTCTGAGGTCCTGGCAGTTTCAAAGCCAGGCACACATTCACCTTCCGGGGCCCGCGCTTGACTGTCTGCGCTCGCCTCGGGGCACAGGGGTGGAGGGAGGCAAGGCTAGGACTAGGCGAGCCCACGGTGCCCAGGTGTGGAATAGGTGCCCAAGGCCAGGGATCTGCACGAAGCAAAGTGAGCGGAACTTAGAAGAATCCGAGCTGGGACACAGTGCAAGGAGAAAGAATGGTTATCAGATTCTCTTAATGATGATACTTGGCTTCACACCATTATCGCAAATAATGGTAGCGATGCTGTGGTTTGGGTGCAAATAAAAACTCAGACTTTGTATCAGCCTAGAAGATCCCCGAGGCTCGGAGCACCTAGACACCCGCGCTCTCGCAGCCGGCCTCGCAGCTGCAGCGACACCTTTCATCTATTTTTAAGAGCGAAAGTAAATTTACCGATACCTGAAAGTCATAGCATCGTTTATCCTTTTCTCCTCTAAAGGTGGCTGACTAGTGCTGGGGCAATAGCTAACCTAAGCATCTTCCTTTCAGATGGCCTGGAAATGGTTAAAGTATATACTACAGCTATTTTTCCCCCAAGACTAAACAGACTCCCGAATTTTCCATATGTTATCTCCAGAAATACCTGGCAGCAAACTGGGCAGTGGCACAATCTAAAGCAGAAAGAGACGTAGGTTTACATTTTTGAGCATCTGGCAGATAAATATTATCATTTGATCATGTTTCCCGATGTCCTTAGTTTTCTTTCATGATATAACTTACGGTTGTAGCGCACGCATCTTGTCGTTGGAGCTGCACTTGGACTAGCTGTGGTGTGGGTTCAGTGCAGACAGGTCTACAGACCTGGCTGTTGGATTTAAAGTCAAGGATACATCATAAAGTTTCAGCTACAGACTTGCTGCGAATATGTTGCACAACAAAAGTAGTTCTAATTGTTAATTTATAGGAGGAAAGAACCCTGTTTCCCCTTCTATGGTCTCGTGACTGTATGGTGGTAACCAAACATGACCATGAAATCAGCTGTAATACTGCCCTCTGACATGTATTTGGTCAGCTGTGCTAGGAGAAGCAACAGGAATGTATGTAGTGGCTTGCATTTTCACACCTACTCTGACTTATAAAGCTGTATGCTTTAATATAGGCTACAATAGGATAAATTAATTTTGTTATTTTAGTCTTACCTTATTTACATAATTTTAAATGCATTTAGAGAACTTTGAAGACATAATTACATGTAAGATTTGTTTTCTTAAAATCTGATGTAAAATATATAGCAAAATATCTTTCGGCAAAATGTTTTGTTTTTGTTTTTAACTTAGTAGAAGAGTAATATACATCTTAGTCTCAGGTTAAGGCACTGAAAATTAATGATAACTTAGACTATAGTTTAGTCGTTAGAATTCATTTAAAAATGAAAGAATAATGGAGGGTTTATTTTAAAGTGAAATTGTGTGGAGAATCCCTCTCTAATATGCAAATGAGCATGTATTTTGTGACAGACCAAAATTTTATTTTTGCATTTCATCTTTTATGCATGTTAATCCACTGTTCAGATATATTTGTCATTCTTTTAAATGTCACCGTTTCCTAAAATGCTTTACTCAGCTTCTTATGCTACATTCAAATCTCAGTTTATGAAATGATGTATTATAACCCTCAGCAGTAAAGCTTCCCATTTTAGAAAGATTTAAGAAAGTGTATGTAGTTTGTGGGAGATTACCATATGTAGAGGGGAAAAAAACTTAGGCCAGAGTCAGAAAACTTGATCCCTAATCTTAATTCTAGTTAATTTGATGTTGGTTGACCTAAATTTATTAAAGTGTAAAAATGAAGATGATTAAGTTTTCCATAAACTTGCCTTACATTCTCATCAATATATTTTTTTTAATGTGAAAGCTACGTCTTGTTAAAGCTAGAAAAATGTTAAATAAGAACATTTAGTAGAAATCTAAATTCATTCTATTGAACCAATTTGAGTGGTTATAAATATAATTTTACTTTCTAATGAAGGGAGGAAAAGAAGCCTTCATTTTTAGCATGTTGATATTTTACCAAGGAACTTGACATTTCAGAACAAATATTGGTCATAATTTTTGAAAATAATGATTGCTTTTAAA